CAAGAGCTACTTAATTTAAAAAAGTCAAAAATCTGAAAGCAAAACTTGCCGTTTACAAAATTTCTGGTAAATAGCAAATAATATGGGTAATAATACTATGAAAATTCTAAGCACACATAACAATCATGAAAATATTTCTAATAATTCAGCTAATCTAAAAACAATGCGTATAAAAAAAAATGAAAATTACAAACACAAAATAAATAAAAGTATAAATGCAAAGATAATTAAAAGTTATGAAATCAATTCTGAAATTTAAAAGCAAAAATGAACTAATACATCTAAAAAAAGAACATTCGATCACCTTAAAAACGATAGTTATTATCGTACAACAACTCACGTATAAAGAAATGAAAATTATAAACACAAAATAAATAAAAGTATAAATGCAAAGATAAATTAAAAAGCTATGAAATCAATTCTGAAATTTAAAAGCAAAATGAACTAATACATGTAAAATTCGAATAACGATAGGTGTAAAAACAAAATGAAAATAAACACAAAATAAATAAAAAGTATAAATACAAATATAAATTAGCTTCTGAAATCAATTCTGAAATTCAAATAGCAAAAATAAATAACAAATCTAATAAAATAGAACATTCGATCGCCTTAAAACGATAGTTGTTATCGCACACAGTAAAATGTAAAAAATATAAAATGCAAATGCAATTTATCAAACAACAAAAACAGAAATATATAACACGAATGAATAAATCTTTAAAAAAATACAAATCAAAACATTGAATATATCACAAAAGTCACAAAGTTAGTATTTCGAAGAATATTAACTACCAGAAGCATAAAAGTCTAAATACTACTTTAAATTACTAAAACTACAAATATAAATGCAAAAAACAATCAAATATCCTGTAAAAAGAAATAAAGATTAAGTGCAATAAGTAATAAAATGAATATTTACGAAATTTGAAATGCTGGAAAAAATTTGCGACGGTCTCCTTCCGAAATCCAAAATTCGTAAATAAATTTTTTGTTGCCAAACCAGGAAACTAAACTTTTGATTCTATTTGATCTGTTGCCAGACCGGGAAACAAAACTTTTTATTTTATCTATGACGTCATTTACTCGACTTATCAAGGGCATAAACCAATCTACATTCAACTAACGACAACTAAATGAAGAGAATGTTTTCTATTTTTAGTTTTATTTTAGCTTTTCAGTTTATTCCTTTAAGTTATTTTAATTTTTTATTCTTAGTTTGTTAGTGGCGAACGGCCTTGGCGTTCCCATAGCATTTTTCTCCGACGACTGCCGAGACTGTTGCCACTCGGAAGACTGAGTGCCGAAATTATTGTTTCGCAGTTTTTAATTAATAACTCCGCCGGATTATTGTCGTACGAAGATGGGACCGGTATCGATGGATTCGTTGATTTTTTTTGGAATCCGGGATATGCGTTTCGAATTCGCAACTCGGCGCCGTTCCGCAGATATTCGAGAAAAACGAATTTGGCACTCGGCCAAATCCCTAAAACAGGGAAAACCCGGTGAAAGAAAGTGCAAAACGTAGGGAAACGTAGGGAGAAAATAGTTTTTAATTAATATCTCGGCTAATTAAAGTCGCACGAAGATGCCGATGGTCAAAATGGCGAGCCACGGGAACACTGAATCCAACGGTACCTTCCGCTAAGCTCTACACCCAGCCGTTCCCGAGAAGATGATGTTACAAACACACAAACAGACAAACAGAGCACACAGATTTTAATAGTATAGACTAGCGGGCAAGCCCGCCAGCTGAGCGGGCTGAAGCCCATTACTTCAGGGGATGGATGCCTTCGTGGTATTCGAAAGTTGAACCGAACTACCAGTGTACAGCGATTTTACATTTGCTGCGCCCGCTTTATTTTTAACGTATGCATGCAGAAGATTTCTGCATGCGGAAAATCCACGAAAACACACATGCAGCCAGCCCGCTCGCCGGGATTAGAAAGTTGGACCGAACTACCAGTGTTCAGCGATTTTACCGCTCAGCTGCTTGTACGAAGTGTAATCGCGAAAATTTTCGGGTGTGATATTCCAACAGTATACTCGTTGTTAAAATTCCTTTATTTAAATTCTTTTTGGTAAACTCCAACTGCTGTCTATATATTTTATACTTAACATCTCTTTTGTAATTATGTTTCATAACAGTAAATATATACTGGCATTTAAATGCCTTTAAAATAGTAGAAAACATTTAAAAGCATTATGTTACAATTTTTTCATGCTCGGAAGTAATACTTTTAACTGCGAGCAAACCTTTGATCTTAGTCGTAACTGTAACTGCTTTCGGCGGCGTTTGTTTACATTTTTCAAGCGTGGGTTTTCGTCAGTTATCTTTGTTTACCTTCTAAAAATGTTCTTCGAAGGGTCTTCTAAGACTCTTGATAATATTTTAGTCGTGAATTTGTTCTATTTTGATTATACTGGTAAATTTCTTTCTTTTTACGTATGCTATCATAATGCATACTATTAGCAAGTAGTATCATAAACCCAAAGCATCAGCGGTTCTAAAATAAAACTCGTGCATGTGTGAAGAATATTCATGGCAGATGGTCATTTGTAGATGCTGTTACTGCAGAAAAAATTGCTGACACTTAAAATAAATTTTAGCGGATATGACAAATGATAAAAGTCCAGCGTGAAAATCAATTGTGAATACAACTGCGAGTGTAAAGGCAGCTGAGTTGAAAACAACTTTTCAATCTACATCAAATTCTAATCAAAATGTTGAGTTGAAAATGTGTTCCTATATTTTAATGAACAGCGAAATGTTTGTTGCATAATGCTACAACAGTTCTTCAGATGTAATATGAAAGGGAATGTTTGGCTATTGAACTCGTTTGCAAATTGTGTAAGAAGGTGTTAATTTTAAAAAATCAAAAATTGTAAAACCAAAACTTGCAGATTATAAAATTGCTGGTAAATAACAGAATGTTAAATAATAATATGTGCAATGCTATGGAAATTCTAAGAACAGATAACAATTATCAAAATATTTTGAATAATTAGGCAACGACCACAGGAAGTGTCATTTTTACTTCCGTGTGTAATGTAGTGGTGTAGCGTATTCAGCTACGGCAAAGCACTCGAGTGCAATCTGCCTAAGGGGAGGGATGCCTTCTTGTCGGCTTTTTAAAGGAAAGTGGCTCGTATGCATGGGGAAAATAACAAAAACACCCATGCAGCCACCCCATTCACTGGGATTCGAATGTTGGGTGTTTGTAAAAGACGCAACTTTGTGGAACAAACTCATTTGCTCATTACAGTCCTATCCCTCGAGTATATCAAATATCATGTGAATCATGCCCATGTCTTGCATCTGCTGCACACCTTGTTCCATCATTGTGTGGATATAGCTCATATTGTGTCAATAGTGTTGTATGTGTCCAATATCCCCTGTATATACATTTGAAAATATATATGTACATACATATAAACCAAATTAGTTAGTCGCCTGTTTTTATCGCATTCAAAATAAATAAATAACAGAAAATAATTTTAAAATCTACCGAGTAAGTATTGCAGATGGGTGGGCTGCACCCACTCAATTCTTTGCTGGTGTCTAAAATAGTTTCTGTGTGAAATTTGTGGAAATATTTTGTATTTAAATCAAAAACAGAAAAATAATTTTAAATCTATGATTAAAATTGTTTTTCTCACTTTCATTATTATTAACACGAAACCGAAGGGACTGAAGAATTTTTTCGTGTTAAAGGATATTGAAAAAAAAAAAAAAAAAAAAAACATATTTTCAACAAAATTAAGTTTATTAGAGTACATTTTATTTGCACAGATATGCATATAGGCATGTATTTAATAAAAAATCAATGAAACAAAATCATCCACAAGAACTGCATTATTCATTTCGTTTTCTTTGTCGGAATCTGCATCAATGATATTTTTTTAGCTTTGAACAAACTCCAAAATATCCTTGTCTCCAATTATTTGGGGCTGTACACACATTATCATCAACTACTGCAACTGTTGTTCTTTGGATAACACAGTAGGGCAGCACACAGAAACTTTTCCAAACGTTTCATAAAATGTCAGTCGTGTGAACCCGTAAAATATTTTACTGTACCTATGTCTATAAAAGACACAACTTTGGGAAAGACATTACAGGCCTATCCCTTGAGTATATTAAATATCATGCAAAACAAAATATTTTATATGAATGAAATCAGTTATTGCGTCAATAGTTCAAAGAAAAACAGAAAATAATTTTTAAAATCTACCGAGTAAGTACGCCAGATGGGCGAGCTACAATCCGTATTTATCTGAAAAGAAATAATAATAATAATAATAATTTCTTAGTTATAAGTTTATATTAAACACAAAAACTTGAACAGAAAAAAAAAATGTAAACAGAAAAAATTGGTGGGCTTTTGACGGCATAAACTGCCTGACACCTGGGGTCTCCTCTGCAACCTCATCGACCAGGGGGTTATTTTTTCTCCCAGGTATCAGCCCCTTCCCTGGTCTGCTGTTACAGAATCATAGACAAAATTGCATCACTATATATAAATATGTATATATATATATATATATATATTGATGCAATTGTATATACATATATACACACACGCACAATTAAGATATATATATATTTGTATGTGTTTACAAAAATGCAAGCAATGAATAAGAAAAATTATTTAAAAAAAAATTTACATGTTCTATGTACACCTGAAAAGAAAAACATTTTAATTTGAATGAAATCATTTCTATATACACCTGAAAAAAAGTATTTACAAGTTCTATGTACATCTGAAAAGAAATGTATAAAAACATTTTAATTTGAATCAAATCATTTCTATATACACCTGAAAAAGAAATATTTTTATGTGATTGAAATCAGTTCCATAAATACCTAAAAAAGAAAATACATAAAATTAATGAACGCAATTGTATGTAGACCTGAAAAGGAAAATTTATAAAAAATATTTACAACATTGAAAAAATAATACAGCTTCCGATTGCCTAACTACTCCCAAATTCCACTTTGTAACGACAGACATAAAAGCCGACTAATGCATAATTCTCAAACTGTTTCAGCTTCATCTTGACTTGCTTCAATTTATCCCAGTCATCCAAAAACCTCAAATCTTTTTCATTTTTGCTTTGGCTTGATTAACTTCATTTTGTGTTGCAAAAATCTCACTGTTTCAATGTCTCGAGTAACTTTTTTACTGCAGAACCTCCCTGTAAACAATATTTCTTGTGAATACTTTAGAACATGCGGGCATCAAACGGCCTTGCTTCTTGGTGTCTTTCACTAAAACACGAACATTCCTCATAGACGAACATCTTGAAAAAGCTACGTAAAGCATTCCATGACTGAAAACTGGTTGCGGTAAATAAATTCCAACTTTCTTAAGTGTCTGTCCCTGTGACTTATTAATAGTCATACAAAATGCAAGCCTGATGGGAAACTGTCTTCGCTTGAGCTGAAAGGGGAGGTTTGAATCTGATGGTGAAAGTTCAACACGTTTAATGAAAACTATCGATCCAGCATTCTGTCCAGAGATGACTTCACAATCTAAAACGTTTGGCATAATTCTCTTCACAATGAGCCTTGTTCCGTTGCAGAGTCCAACCGATGGATGTAGATTTCGTAGAAGCATAACTATAACTCCAACTTTCAAATTCAGACGATGAGGTGGCATTCCAGAAGGCGTCAGGCTGTGGATGAAATCCAGCTGATACGTTTCTTGTTCTTCTTCGTCATCGCAAATAACCGAGTCTGCACTGTAGTGCGTGAAAACTTGACCTGGAAACGTGGAAAGAATTTCTTCATTAAGCTTCAGAGCTTCCTCGTTCTTTGGACATAAAATCGCTTTACTGGCCAAGTCTTGTAAGTCGAATTCATTACCGCAGCCAAACATTTCTTCTACTATCGATCTGTTGACCACACACAAAGATGGAATTTCGATAATGTCTTCGTCCAAGCCACTGTCATTTTAAGACGACCGTCTCCCAACTGCAGAAGCCATTCTGAAAATTCTTGTTCTTCCGGATTCAATCGCATATTGGTGGAAAGCGTGCATTGTTTGAAATGTGGCCACAAAAAGGAGTTCCTGAGGCAGCTCTCGATCGCAGAAGTTCGGTTTCCATGTGCGACAACAGGTAATGTTTGTCTCCAGTCACCTCCTAAAACTAAGGTTTTACCGCCAAAAGGAACATCCAGTCCGGTCAAGTCTCTCAGCAATCTGTCGACAGCTTCCAAAGCGTAATGAGGCGTCATGGTGCATTCATCCCATATGAAAAGTTTCGCAGTCTTCAAGTACCTTCCTTCAGCGCTATCTTGTCTCACACGGCACGAAGAATTTTCCAGAAGTGGAACGGGCAACTTGAAAGTAGAGTGTACAGTTCTTCCACCGGTCAACAGCACACAGCAGCAATGCCTGTCCACGCAACGGGAATGGCAACGTGGCCCATTCCTCGAACAGCATGAAGGATCGTCCTAAAAAGGAAAGTTTTTCCAGCTCCGGCAAACGCATTAATTAACACAAAATGTCTTCGGTGTGTTAGGATTCTCATCTCGTACAGCTTCCAAAACCAAGTCGTAAACTAATTTCTGTTCAGGATTCAACATCCCGTTCAACACTTCGGCTTGTTCGTTTTCATACTGGACATCGAACTGCGGGACTTCGAGAGAAACAGCATCAGTCAATGTTGGTTGCGGGAGACCAAGAGAACATAGCGAAACATTGTGCACTTCTAACTGGTCTTCTATACTTCTCAGTGCAAGGCTGAAACTGTCTTCTAAGGAGTAAGATCTCGCAAAATCTTCAGAAAGGGACTCTTTGAATTCATTCCACAAAGCGACGGGTTCCGCAGGGTTGCAGAAAACACAGATGAAGCAAAAAAAGCTGTCTTAGCTGCGGTGGCATTTGAAAAGCTGATGCTTCTGCCAGAGTATTTTTTCCATTCTTCGTCGTCTTGCAGCAGATGCCTTGCACGGCAGGCTTCCTTGAACGTTGAATACTCCACACCTTCGTAAGTTCTTAAGTCGGCAAAACTCTTCGCTCCTTTAACGTGACACAGCAGCAACCTCAGATGGAAACGCTCAACATCTTTCGGGCTAACAGAATACATTCTTGAAATGATGTAATCTCCAAGTCTAACTCGTGTCTGCCAGGCATGATTCCTCCAGGTGAAATGTTTAGGAATTTCGGCATACAGGTAACCATTCGCTTCGGGAACTGTCCTGTTCAGTTCAAACCATCCGGTGAGCATGGTATTTTTCTCGGCAGCTCTCTGGAAAGCATTCCTTTCTTCGGATTCGGCAAAATAGACGGGCTGCAGGTTTTCCAAATGAACCGGTAGTCGTATGATGGAGTGCGACTTAGAATGCATTCTTTTTTCAAACAGCCTCCACGCTGCTTCAGGGGCAGACACGTATCTTGCATTTAAGAAGCATTTGATCTCGTCCCACATTAAAGTTCTATCTCCAGATTCTTCCAGAACAACTTTAGCTGCATCATGACCCTTGTACACGTATTTGAACAAATACTTCACCGATTTTATGGAGCTGCATACTTCAACGTTTATGTGGGCGTTGTACTTTTTCGATAAATACGGATTGTAAGGAACGACCCATCTGTTATCGATGGCATGACCCTTGATCACGATAAAGTTTCCATCGTCCCTTCTTCTGTAGAGTGGGTAGCCATTCACGTTCTCTTTAGTTTCTGCCTGAAACGGTTTCGGAAATCCTTTCGAACATACACCATCACTCATGCAGGGAGAGTTTCTATTCAGTTCACCGCAGGGTCCGTGAATCATCGATGACTTCACAATGTTGTGTAGCTCCGGATGTCGAGTAGCATCTGGAAGTTCAGCACACACCAGCGAGTCGATGCACTCTGCATCTCTTATTTTGTCTTCTTCCGCTAAAAACAACAAAAGGTGCATATGAGGCAATCCTCTCTTCTGAAATTCGATGACGTGTATATCTGCAATGGTCGCACCTAAGATGTGATTCTTTGTCAAATCTTGCATCAAAGCCGTTTTCTTCAGGTCAAATACCCTCGAAACGATGTCCGGGCGATCGTGAGCCTTCTGTCCTGGGAATAAGTTTTCTGTTATTTCCGGCCATTTAGGGTTGCACGTGAAAGTCAAAAACAGATCCGGTTTACCAAAGTCGCGCACAATGGCCATCGAGTCCTGATAGTTTTGCTGCATGCAGCGAGGGCTTCCTATAAACGTTGACGGAAGTATAACCGGTATTCCAGGGCGGACGCCCGTCTCTTGACCAACTCTGTAAATGTGATCGGCAAGACCCATGTAAGTTTCCACTCTCAGATTCGTCTGATGGCTCCGGAGGTACGCAATCCTGTTGCCTTCAACTTTTACGTATGCATCCACGAGATACTGCTGAAACAATTTCCGGCCATACAAAATCGGGTTGTAGCAATCTCGTCGTACGGACACCCTGTGACTGTAAAACTGTAACTCTGTGTATTGCTGTCCGACTCTGAATCCTTGCTCGCCGTGAGGAAAGAAAAGTACGTACGTCATGGGTTCCAAGTTGGGATTTAAGGTACTGATGTTGATGAGACCGCCACCTCTCGGATGGATCACGATGTCTCGGTTCGATGGAGGAGCGCCGTCCGTACTCTTGAAGACGACTGCAACTTCATTTTCTTTCGGAGCATTGTAACGTCCCCTGTGCTCGCCTGCAGCAACACACTTTCACCCTTGATGTACATGCGGATATCCGCAGCAGTTTCGGCGCCTTTGCTCTCGTAGAGTTTCTTCTTCGAATTCCTTCAGCATCTTGTAGGCTTCCGCATATGGATTAACGTTCCTTAAAACTGTGTCCAACTGTCTCAGGAGTTCGGCGTTCAGGGCAACATTTCCAAATATGTTCATTCTCTGCCTGAGGGCTTGATCCGAATCTAAAATGTACAGCTGAGCATACTGTTCTTGACCGGGATGAGGCGGATGAAGGTGGCTCGTTCGATGATATATGGCACCGTGAATCCTGAAGCAGTAGGGACCCGAACCCGAAGGCATTTCTATATTGGCACCCAATGAAGCAAAACTGAGCAGGCAGTTGTAAGTACGTATGTTGGCAAAAAACTCTTCAGAAAACGGGTGGTTCCCATTCATTAAATTGTGCCATTCTTCTGGATATCTTCTTTCAGCTTCGACAATTTTCCCATTGTTACAGCAGTGCATGTATCTTCCTCTTGCATTCCTTTCTCCCGTAAAGAACAATCCGTTGCAGAGATCGCAGGAAGCTTCCATTGAACCGGCGCTGTGTTGCTCAACATAAACTTCGAGTCCACATCTTCCTGCATTGTGAAGAGTGCTGCGTGAACGTTGTGCTGCATTCATACGTAGCCTGTCTTCTCGTACGGACATTGTTTCTTCGGATAGGACTTGTCTGTGGCGTGCAGCGTCTCGCGTTCTTCGTGTAGCAGCGTCCTCTTCCGACTCTTGAGTGCGCAAGTTCTCTTGACGTTGCACTTGCCTGCTGAGTCTCCTACTTGTTTCTTCTTCCGTTTCTTGAGCACGTAGGTTTGCTTGCCGATGTGATTGCCTGCAGAGTCTCGAACTGGTTTCTTCTTCCGTTTCTTGAGCGCGTAAGTTTTCTTGCTGTTGTGCTTGCGTGCAGAGTCTCATAGCGGTTTCTCTTCTTCCGTTTCTTGACCACGTAGGTTTGCTTGGCGCTCTGCTTGCGCACTCAGTCTGCTAGCGGTTTCTTCTTCCGTTTCTTGACCACGTAGGTTTGCTTGGCGCTCTGCTTGCGCACTCAGTCTGCTAGCGGTTTCTTCTTCTGTTCTGACCACGTAGGTTTGCTTGGCGCTCTGCCTGCGCACTCAGTCTGCTAGCGGTTTCTTCTTCCGTTTCTTGAACACGTAGGTTTGCTTGGCGCTCTGCTTGCGCACTCAGTCTGCTAGCGGTTTCTTCTTCATTTTCTGTAGCTCGCCGTAACCTTTGTGCTTCAGCTCTTCGTCTTCTCGATGCATCTCCCGTAATGCTTCTTTTCCGTTTCGGCATTTCAGTGTGTTAAAAAAAATACTACTCTACTAAAAACAATAACTGAACTAAAAAAGTAATAATCGAACGTAAAAGATGAAAGAAAAAAACTTGTTCGTTAAAACAGTACTCCTGAAAATTAGTTAATGCATTCTAAATGTAAATAATTCCAGACTAAATGAAAACTTATCCGCTCAAGAGCTACTTAATTTAAAAAAGTCAAAAATTCTGAAAACCAAAACTTGCCCTGATTACAAAAATTGCTGGTAAATACCAAATAATATGGGTAATACTATGAAAATTCTAAGCACACATAACAATCATGAAAATATTTCTAATAATTCAGCTAATCTGAAAACAATGCGCATAAAAATAAAATGAAAATTACAAACACAAAATAAATAAAAGTATAAATGCAAAGATAAATTAAAAAGTTATGAAATCAATTCTGAAATTTAAAAGCAAAAATGAACTAATACATCTAAAAAAGGAACATTCGATCACCTTAAAACGATAGTTATTATCGTACAACAACTCACGTATAAAGAAAATGAAAATTATAAACACAAAATAAATAAAGTATAAATGCAAAGATAAATTAAAAAGCTATGAAATCAATTCTGAAATTTAAAAGCAAAAATGAACTAATACATGTAAAAAAAGAACATTCGATCGCCTTATAACGA